TCTGGGATGAGAAATTGTTAGGGTGAAAACACCTTAGGAAAGATAAGCAATGTGCTTCTAGCTCCTCTGAGCCAGGCCCGGCACCATGTCCGACATTCCCCCCTGTGTCCGACATCCTGTCCTGGGTCCCTACCTGCGTAGCTCATGAAGTTGTTATAAGGAGTGTTAAAGAAGCTGTGGAAGCCGCAGGTGTCGTTCCCTGGCCCTGGGTCACCGCAGAACTTGTGTTTTGGGGCTGGGTTGGTGTCACTGCAGAGGTCTCCAGTCTCAAAGGAGGGCTCCGTCTCCATGCAAGGGTCACTGCAGGACTGGATTTCAGAGATGCCCCGGAAAATGTGGTAGAGGCCCAGACTGTGCCCAATCTCATGGATCATGGTGTGGGTATGGCCGGGAATGCCGTAGAAGGATGGATTCAAGACAATGCCACCTGCAAGGGGAGAAACAAAACATTAGCCCAGCTGGGCCCAGTGCTTCGTGGGCCAGAACTCACAAGTCCATCAAGGTGCTCTTCAAAACAACCCCAGGCTTCTCCATCCTATGACCTTGTGGCCCTGAGATCTGTTAGGACTGGTGATGTGAATCATTGGTAGAGTAGAAGGAGTCTCAAAAGTCACTTTGTGCAACCCCTCGATTTTTCAGATGAAAATACTAATTCCTAGAGAAGTGCACAACTTACCCAAGGTGATTTCAAAAGAAGCGGCATGATTAGAATTTCATGGGCTTTGATTTCTAGGCTGGTAGACATTGCTTCTGCAACATTTTCCCTAGACAGCAAGGCATGCCCTGATTTACAAACATTCTACACTCACATGTCTAAATAATATTCTTGTGGCCAGACACCTTGGTTCCAGTTTGTACTTTGGTTGCAGCAGCTCTCTGTCATTAAGCAAGTGATTTCCTGTTTCTGTTTCATCTCTGTACTCTATGACTGTGAACACTCCTGAAAGCCAGTATGGTTCTAACAACTTTAACCATGTTAACAACGGTAATAATAGTCAGTGTTTCTTGAGCACTGATTATGTGCTCTTGCGTCCTTTCTAAGTATTCTATGTATCTAGTCACTCTTAGCTCATAATGCAGTGAGAAGGGCACAGATTCAGGAAAGTGAAGTAAGTGGCCCATGATCAAGAGGTAATGAGTGCACACTAGGACCTGAACTCAAGCTCCTCAGGTCCCTAAGCCAGTACTCTTACACTTAGTTCAAGCACAGGGCCTGGAATAGGGCACCTTATTAGGTAATCTGAGTATCTGACTCAACCCAAGATGTTTTGTAAGGTCCAATCACTGTAACGCTGGTATAGTACCTCCCCTGAGAGAGAGTCTTCCTTATTAACCACTTTCCATTTTAAGTGTGGCCTCAGAACACACAGTGTGAACATCAGCCTAAGGTGATCAGGAGTGTCAGGACTACCCACACTGACAGAATCAGAAAATGTGTTTTCACAAGATCAAGAGACTGAATCAAATTGTGTGTTCTACTCAATAAGCAATGTTTGGCCTCATGGGTCTTGGAAGATCAAACAGCACTTACCCTGGGGAGAGAGTGCAATAGACCTCAGCAGAATCAGAGGCTAGCACTGGTCACACTCCTTTGAGACTCTGGAGAAAAACTCTTTTGAGACACTGTAGGCTAGCAGAGAGATAGCTAAGTTTTAAAGCCCGGAGGGTTTAAGAGAATGTTAAAATTCAAACCTGAGCATCCTGCAAGTGGTGACTTTAAGGGCAAAGTGGAGGCCTGTAGAGAATGGAGAGGCAGTGCCTGGGTGGCGTATCCAGCAAGCCTGGGGCAGGCATGGGGCATGGACGAATGGCATATCTGGGGCTGAACTGCTGAGAGGGCAAAGCTCGCTCAGCCATGGAGCCCACAGTGTCTGCTCAGGCGAACTGTACAGCCTTCCAACATACAGATAAAGATGTATGAGAGGGAGTAGTGTGTGTGTGTGCACGCGCAAGTGTGGGCCAGGCAGGGACAGGGAGAATTGAGACAGGAAATCTCTCTCCAGTTTTTCTGTCATTCATAATATGAAACATAATCCCCTTCCTACCCAAGGTTTTTTTTCCCAGGTGTAATAGCAGGTAAAGCAGGTACAAAAAGCCGTGTGTGTTTGTGTGTGTGCGTGTGTGCATGTGTCTGTATTCTGACTATAAAGTGGGTTTGAGCCCACCTCTAGGGTGGACTGGTGGCAGTGGGGAGCCAGCCAACAGGGCTGCCCTCCGATTCTTCACGCTATCTGTGTAATCTTAGGAAAATGACTTTGCATCTCTGGTGAGCTGTCCCATAAATAGCTACGAGAGAATTGATGACTCTCTGGCTCTCCATGAAACTTCAACATTGGAATAACAGAGGGGCAGGACCCACGGGTAATACAGGGATAATGATAGAATTGCAGAAAACATCCAGGCCAGCCCTGCTTATTTTACCTCGTCCACTCCCAATTCACCCCTTTCCACAGAGCAACAGCCCAGAGCCCCCGAGTCCTGTTTCATTGCTTCTCTTAAAAGTGAAATAGCTACAGCCTGACATCATCCTGAAATACTATAACATGCTATGGATTTATAGCTTTCCGTATTCCTGGTCCTGAGCCAGTTTCTGAAATTCATGGAATTATCAGAAGTATTTTTCTCGAACTTTGGAAGCTTGCTGCTCAACCCTCCTCAGGCTCTGATCATGGCACTTTTGCTTGTTTTTCCAGTAAGACACAATTTCAGGTCTGAGAAGGGGTCGTGGAGCTTGTTTGACCTAAACCGCCATTTAAACTTTGGGGAAACTGAGACGGGGGAGGAAAGAGACTTGCCTAAGACCATGGCGCTAAGTCAGGTTGCAGCCAAACACAGCCACATGCATCGTCTCATCATAGGAGACAGATAACAGCTGAGCCCCTATCTTCAAGTTTGCTTAAGGTACACACTCTCTTCAATCCAACCCGTCTGCCCAGTTGTCTGTCTATCCAACATCTATCTCAGGTTTTCTTGACCTTACTATTATTCACATTTTGAACTGGCTAACTTTCTTATGGACTTTGTAGGAGATTTAGTAGCATCACTGATCTCTAGACACCAGTTGCCAGTAACATCCCCCTATTTGTAACAAACCAAACTATTGCTAGAATGTCTCCTTTGTGGCTAGAATCCTCCCAGGTAAGAACTACCTGATATGTATCTTTGCATCTACCTCTAGTTACACAGCCACACATATGTGCACACACTTCCACACAACACACATCCACAAATTGGTTTCATCCCCTTAAAAACAACTGGGAAAAAATTGCTATGTGGAGGAACTAAGTCTAGAGTTTGGTTCTGGATGACCTCATCATTTCAAGTTGCAGCATCCTTCATCACCAGATACCGAAGTTATAGTTAACACCTGCTGGAGTCTAGGTGTATCTGGGAGATCAGGCAGGGGAGGGAAACACTCCCGGCACTGGCACTGCTGAATCCCGCCATTCTCAAAAGAGGCTCACTGAGTCACCAGTGTTGATCCTTACAGATAATGGTGACACGCTACCCAGGCAAAGGTGGCTGCATAAAGTGCAGAACCTTCACTCAATGGAATGCAGAACCTTCACTCAATGGAATATTATGTGACCGTTAAAATTTCACCATTAGAAAGATGAAAAGAATCCAGAGAGATGAGTTTTGCTTGTGAGTGTTGGATGGGATGTAGTTAGGAAGATGAACTCAACATGGAAAATGTGGATGGCATGATATGTGAAAAAACAAAAAGAACACAAAATTGGTATGCTGTGATTTCAGATATGTGCAAGTTAAAATGCATGTCTACGGGCCCTCCCTGGTGGTGCAGCAGATTAAAGCACAGCACTAAGAAGCTAAAGCCACTTTAGCATGAGTTCGATCCCCGCCCTCGAGGTGACCCATATGGCGCGGCAGACCTCTTCTGACCTGCCCACTGCTCCCCTCAGCAGTGTACTTTGTCAGTTGACCTGTTCTGCTCCCCAATCTGTGTCTGTGACTCCTCTCACCACCCCTGGACCTCTGGTCAATACGCCAGTTCTGTATGTAGAAATAAATAAATCTTTAAAAAAAAATGTATGTCAACATATAGACATGTACTGGAAAAGAACATGGAAAATTCACAATGAAAGGACAATAGTATTTGTTCACAGGGCCTGCCTCAGAAACCACTGTCATTTGTGACTTTTGGTGACTGTTTTGGGTAAACACAAGTCTTGTTTATCAAACATGTGTAATTTGAATATAAGGAGTTCCTAGTGCTGGTGGTGGGTGGACACAGGGGAACTAGCAGTTCTTACAAACTCACTTTCTCTTGATTCTTCGGTGTCTGTTAAGCCAACCCATAACTCACTGTGCCAGCACAATGTGGTTGCCATGCTGAGAAGATATCTGCATGAACAAGATGCAGGGGATAATAGGAGAAAGCAATCAATGAACAGAAATGGAGAATGGAAATTGAAATATGGCTGATGTGTGTGTGTGACCATGGATAAGACCCATTCCTTCTCTGGATCTCAATTTCCCTATTAATAAAACAGGATTACTGATATTGTGCTGTTTCTTCAGAGCAGGCCTGGGTGGCTGATATGAGATAAAGAATGTTAAAAGAGTTTTGTGTATCAAAGTGATAAGCAAATGGATTTTGACCACCACCACCATGGTCAAGATCACTATCATCATCCTTACTGCTACTAAATTTATTCTTGTACGATTCCAGCTTCCTCCTGAAGACGTTTCCAATTCTTACCCAAGTGCATTAGGGCCTCCTTGTCCCAAGGCCAGGTTGCTACTCCAGCCAATTCCTCTTCTGAGGAGTTTGCAAAGAAGATATTGAGATGTGTTGATCCATCTAGTCTCAGAATGTTCTTCAGTTCATTAACATCCAAATATGCTCTGCAATAAAGAAAGAAACCTGACTGTTATCATCATTCCAAAAGAGTGTGATTCAAGCAACAGGCATTTCCAATGAATTAAATGCCTGGCATTTCCATGTGCTAGGCACTTTAGTAAGCACTTTATAAACATCACCCACTGACTTCCTCCAATAATACACTAAGATAAGTGAAACAACCCCATTTTACAGATTAGAAAGTCCTTGTGAAAGTAAGAGACTTGCCAAGGTTGCTCAACTTACAAATTGCAAAGTTCACTTTAGAACCTAGATTTTTCTAGTCAACATTTGTGACGCAAAGGACTCTGCACTATTGATTGATGACAGGATTGTTCATGTGGGTATAAATCAAGAGACAAAGTATTCTCATTCACATCCTGGCATCTTGCCTCCTTTGCTCATTCATGATGCATCTGCATTGTAGGCCATTTATTTGTTGGATTCAGAACAGCATGAGGAGGCCTGCTTTGCATCTCTATACCAATCTTGCAAGGGGTTTTATTTGCATGTGCTTCAATGCTATTATACAAGTTGCCCAAAGTCAGGGAACTGGGTTTCAAATGCAATTTTGTCCAGCCTGGAAACTTATATGATTTTTTTTCACTGGGGTATCAAGCTGCCTCCCAAAGATGAGTCTGCATTCTATTTTTTCTCTATTTCTTTATCTGTACAATAGATGACCCAGGGGAATTGCACTTAAAGCAGCTGTCATTGTAGACTGACATAAATGAGAAGTGAATTAAGTGCCCCAGGCTACAATGGTCAGCTCTTTAATACATGCAACAAATACAGGTTGGAGAGAGGAAGACATGGTCTTTGGAAAGAGACTGACATATCCTAGGTGCCCAAATAAATAAGAATCCTTCCTTTGGGGAAGGTAATGCTCGTAAGAAATGAAACACTAAGTGAAGCTTTAACGGTTCATTCTCTAAATAGACAGAAGCCTCTTGCTTCTCTCTCGGGCTCATTTCAGGCCCTGTGTAAGTCTGCCATCATGTACGTTAGGGATCCTTGTGAAAAACTAATAGTCATTTCTTGAATAAGGTTGGAAATGAATCAATGAATAAATTAATAAAAACATAAATAAACCAGTAGGCAGCTCCAAATAGTAGGTGAGATAAAGGCTATGAACAATTATATTTAATGTTGTTGGGCCTTTCTATGTGGTCTGACTTTACATGGATTAGCTCCTTTAATCTTCTTAATAACACTGAGGTAGGTAGTACTATGATCCCCATTTTCCAGAGGAGGAAACAAAGGCTTAAGGAAGCTTCAGACCTTGCTGAGGTCACCTAGTTAGTTGATACAGTTTTCCTTTTACATAAAGCTGAGTCTACAGGGTTTCTGGCACAGAGCCTGGACACTAGATCATATAATCATGGCTCCTTTCTCATTCCTTCTTGGAGTCACAGATGGGCCTCTTCATATGGTTTAAAGCCCAAGCCCCCTGCATGGTGGGCAAGTTCCTGCTCCTAACTTTAGCCCCCTCTCTCTATTTCCTCTCTTGACTACCCCCCCATGCATTGGCAGTGTCCCCCATCATGCCTCTGTACATGCTGTTCCCTTTAGTAGGGACACTGCTCCCCATTTTGCCCTCTGATGAAGAGATTCAAGTACATTTTGACACCACTCTTCCAGGATCACTCCCCTGACTCTCACCTTACCTCCATTCCCTGTGCCTGTTGCCTCCTAGGAATAGGTGTTCTTATACAGCTCCACCTCACTGCTTCACTGTCTACATCTTCCACTTTGTGGGGCTGGGAATGGGCCATATTCATCACTGTTTCTCCAGTTCTCAGCACAGGCACATACCAGGCAAATAATTAGTAGATGCTGATGGAGTTGAGTTTACACTGGGAAGGAGAAAAGCTGAACCATCTAATTCCTGGTCTCAGTTTCCATATCAATACTCTGGGATCAGTCCCAGCTGCCTAGGACTTCCCTCAGCATTGCTGTGAGTCACACATCTAACCCCTGATGGGACGAGGGTAAGTCTTGAGACCAACAGCCCTCTTGGCTAGCCACAAAATCATTGTCTCAAACTCATGAAACCAAATGTTCATGTGACTGTAACTTTGATGGAAAAATAAAAGAGGTTAACAAGAGCCAGAGATGCAGCCAGGGCTGTGATAGGTTCCATCTATGACTGAGCTGAACTGACTAAATCGAAGGAAAGTCATGGAAGGTAAGGTACTGCCCCCCAAGTCACGCTGCTGTGCCTTTGTGCATCAGATCCCTCCTTCAGCTCCTTGGATTGGAAGCACACAGGGAGTTCAAAGGAGTCTTCTCTGTGATCAGAGCAGAAAAGAGGAAGAAGCAGGCAACATGCATAAGCACTTGATGGATGGCTGTTCCCATACACAGTTGCCCATCTCAGTAGAGAATTTGAAACCATGTGGCTAAGTGGCAAGTTGGCTCATTCTCATGTCGGGGTCCTGCCTCTGAATTCATCTCTTCCACCCAAAGTTTGGCTCACCCTGGGGCAATGTACTTAACATCCTGTGTCCTACTTTCCACTAAACACAAAACTAGGATGATAATAGAGGCCTACCTCGTAGAGCCGTTCAAAGGATTTTGTCATTAATAAAGGAAGCATAAAGGGCTTTGAATAACCCTCTAACCTCAATGAATGTTGATCTAAGAAGCAGGTTCAGAGATCACATGAATAGTGACAAAGCCAAGTGCAAATTTAGAAGAATCCAACTCTTCCACAGCCTTACCCTCACTTCCAAGCTCACCCAGGACCACAGTATATAAAAGGAAACAAAGTGAGGGAGGGGAATGGAATTACAGAAATGCTGACATTCTCTCAGATCAGCTCTTTCCACATTGGTCGTTATTTTTGAATTGATTTGTCCATTTCTATCAAGTGTTCTCTCAGGCAGAGAACGCAAGTGTTGTTAGAGAAAGTAACCTCTTTACCCCTTTGCTCTAGGCTGCAAAGGCTTCCAGAGCAGCAGAGAAGGGGTGGAGTAGGGGCAGGGAAGACATTTTAATTGGTTGTTTATTCAGCGGTAATTGCAGAAGCTAATCTTTATAGGGGGTGGTATTCAACCTGGCCCAAGGCACAGATGTGGGGTGCTGGAGTCTCCCTGTTTGTAGGTGAGTCTCCTCCTGCACTTTGGGGAGCTTTCCTTTCCGCAGAGGAAGACTTTATAGCAGTCATTTATAGCCCAGGCCCTACTTCTCTCTTTTCTTTTGGGGGAAAGAGAAGCAACTCTGTGGCTAAAACGTTTTCTTTCTGCTGACTGAAGTCTTTCCACCAATACAGAGCCAAGCTGGGTGTCTTCCAAAAGGATCAGAGGAAAATTTTGGAGATAGCAATTCATGTAGGTATCTATTGCCTTCCTCTTACCCCTCCTTAAGGTACGGTTTCTTTCCCTCTGTCAAAGAGTGGAGGAGAAAGCTTAGATCAAGCTTAGGATCATAGAGTTTAGGGAGACTGATGTTGAGAGAAGGAAAAGGACTTGCCCAGGACCATTTGGCTTTCCACTTTCCAACTGTGGAAAGGTTGACCCCGTTTCTATTATAAAGTCTTCACATTTACTTAACAAAAATCACTACCTCAAAGAAAGCAACCCAAATCAATCCACATTCAAAACTCGTTGTCCAACTACTCAGAGTTTTAACAGACAGACCTATGTCCCTGGCTACATTGCTTTTCCTGTCCAAGTCTCTGCCCACTAACAGGCATGGAATGCTAACGGGCATCCTCAGGCCCCGTGTATGTCTGTCATCACATACCGTAAGGATCCTCATGAAAAACTAATGAGATGATAACAGGATGGAATGAGATAGCTAACCCAACCCCAACATGCACTCCACATACCCTTACCATATTCTGGTCTCCTATTGTCTTCGGCTGGGGAGAACCCCAAACAGATAGCTCCCTCTGGGTGGTGTTCCTAGTCTTGGTTTCTGGGATTTTTATTTCTTCCCCTCCACCCACTCTCTTAATTCAGCCTCAACCACTCAAGTCAAGTTGTTTTGGTTTCTGATCCTTAGAACCCCTTGTTATCTCCGATTATGGCTATCCCCCAATCAAGCCTGTTAGTTTCCTTACTCTGCCTCACAAACTCTTCTTGAATATCAACCTTTTAAAACCTTAACCTGGGCTTCCCTGATGGCGTAGGGGTTAAGTCTCATCAGTACTATCACTACTATGGCTTGGGAGCTGACCCACAGGGTGCAGCAGACCTCTCATGTCTTGCCCACTGCTCCCCTCACCAATAATATTTCAGTCAGTCTTCATGTTCTGCTCCCCACTCTGTCTCTGGTGAATCTTCTCACCCACTACACCTCTGGCCTACACCCCAGTTCTTCTACATATTAATTTTTTAATTAAAAAATTTGTTTTTAATTAAAAACAAATCTTGCCCTGATCCCCTGAGAGATTGGATGATGGTGTACACCTCTTAGGGGCCCTAGGGTAACAAGAAGTAATACAGAGAAAGTGCCTGTAACAGCACATGGAGAAGGTACACACTGATGGGACAGGCTATTCTGGCATGACAGATTACTACAGCAATACTATTAGTCACACTGAAGTCATCATCATGGCTTCTCGCTGTGATGACTTCTTCCTCCTCCAAGTTCCTACTTGTGATTTTGTATTTATCACCCTGCTTGGTGGTAGCTCCCTGGGGTAAGTGCTTGTCTTCTCCATCAAAGCTATGAGCTTCCAGCAGATGCAGCCCCAGTCTTTACCAGGCCCATGATATCAACCCTAAAACTCTCCTTCAAGAGCATGACGAACCATGGGTTGGCAGCTCATGAACACCCCTCTCTTAAACTGCCCAACTTAAGAACACAGGATGAGAAAGCCTGGGGCCTGGGAAATGAAACGACTTGTCAGAGGTGTTGAGTAAAGGGCATGGAAGGATGTGGTAACAAACCTGTCCTCCAGTCTGTGTGTGTAAGGCAGAGCTTCTGTACCAATTAGGTCAGCCATCTCTTCCTGCAGGTGGGCACTGTTCCCCTGCAGGGGAACCTGGCCTGCCAG